GCTAGAAACCTTTTTTTTTTTTTTTTTTAATGAAAGCTGAGTGTTTGATGCAACATCACCCTTCCACAGCTGGGACTTTAAGAAAAATGCCAAATACGGTGAGAGCAGGAAGCACTGTGTAAATTACTATACAAGATGAGGACGGAGTCTCTGCTGGCCTAGTTGTCTTTATGAAAATAAAACAAATATCTTTCCCTGTGGCTCTAAGAGCAGCTTAGGTTATGAATACTGCAGCACTTCTTACCTTTTCATTTACTTTCTCTAAGCTGTTGGCATCCCTTTGGGACAGGGAGCAGAAGCCCCATGCCTAGACCAGTAGGAAAAAGGCTAACCCCTTCTGCCCTGTATATGGCCACAGCAGTTCCTTTCCAACGCATACAGGGTTCTTGTACTGGGTTAATCCAAGGACATTCCAGAAACAAGGCAGGTGAAGTATTATCTTTTATTGGACCAACATCTGTTGGTGAGAGACAAATTTTCAAAGGACACTCAGGAGGGGAGTCAGGTGACAGCTGCCTAGAACCAGTGCAGACTATAAGACTACGTCCACACTACAAGGTTTTTGCGCAAAACCAGCGGTTTTTGCGCAATAGCCAGCAGTGTCCACACCTCAAACACTTAAATCAGCAGAACAGAACAGGACTTTTGCTGGTAGAGTTATTCCTCTCCCCATGAGGAATAACTCCTTTTTGCACTACAGCTCTTGTGCAAAAAGGCAGGTGTGGACGCTCCAGAGGGGTTTTTGCACAAAAGCACAGGTGTTCTGCAAATGGCCATCAGAACTTTCTTGCAGAAGAGTGTCCATGCAGTGTGGATGATCTCTTGCACAAAAAAGCACATCGCTTGTGCGATGCGCTTTGAGGTCTGGATGCGCTTTTGTGCAAGACATTTTTGCAGAAGATCTCTTCCGCAAAAGGCTTCTTGCGCAAAAACCCTGCAGTGTAGACGAAGCCTGATAGGGGCTGTTTGTCACTCGGTGCAAGAGATTGACAAGGAGTTTCTCTGGCTGCAGGATTGTGGGTGAGGACCGTGTTAGGGTTGAGGAGAGTCAAGCTGCGTCAGGCCGGGGGAAGGAATCTGTTCACCTTGCTCCCGTGACTCCATCCAGAAAGGATGAGGCCTGGAGGGCTAGAAAGGGATGGAGTCCTTGTGAACTCCTGCTGCTGACCAGGAGAGGAACTAACTGTTTTTATGTTAGAATAAATCAGCCCCTAGAAGGGGGAATGTGATGTGAACCACCTAGCGTGTGTATTCCATGGAGAGTCACAGCAAACGGAGGGTTGGGCTGACTAACCAGTTGCCAGGATGGGACAGACAGATCCTCTCACAATGTTCTCGCATGTCTCTCAGCTCAGACAGTGCACACAGGTCTTTCAGGATATGTTTCCTCTGGAATTTTTTTTTTTAAAGTAAAGATTTCTATGGCATTAGTTTGGCAAAAGGGTAGCTTACAAACCCTAAATGTGATCTGAGAGAGCTCCTCTGTTCCTATGTTTCATAGCATAGGCGGGCACTAAGCAACCACTGCTCCCATTGAATTCAAAAGCTGGCACTAGGCACTGTTGAAAACATCTTCGTAAAAGGCTGTCCTGGTTTTCAAGGGCCTTGGAACGTGGGTAAGTGAGGAATGGCAGGGCAACTTGAAGGGTTACTGACACTAGCACTGGGGAGCATAAAATGTAGCACACAGCCAAATCCAGCCCATCATGTTCCTTGGCCCACTAATGTCCCATGGCCCAATGGGGCACTGAGGCAGGCTGCCTACCTGCTGCAGTCCCACACACTGCTCAAAGCATCCGGCTGCTGGGACAAGAATGTCTGCATGTACATCCCTTGGTGGGAGGGGGGCATTGAGTCTCATTGCTCCCACACCCCAGCGCCATTCTCACTACTCCCAATGGCTGGAAATCAGCCAAATAGCGCTGCAGGGGCTGTGCTTGCAGGTGCTGCAGCCCCATCGCACACTCTGAGCAGAGCCAGTTCTGCTCCCCAGCCTGGAACCTCTTTCTGCCCCCAAACTCCTCATTCCCATCCCCACCCCTGAGCCAGCATCCCCAGCCCAGAGCCCTCAGGTTCTCCTGGTTGTCCCACACCTCAGCCCCCTGCCACAGACCACAAGAGGAGGTGCACATAGGGCTACATGCACCCCCCAAGGCAAGGGGCAGGGGCCAGCTAGCAGCCATCAGGAAGGCGATTGGGCCAGCACCAGCAGCAGGAAGCCACTCCACGCCACCCCCCTGTACTCAGCAGTAGTGGCAGTGGGAAAGGTGCAGGAAGGTGTCTAGACCCCCTAGGCTACCTGGGATAGGGGAAGAGGCGGGGTGGGGAGGGGTGGAGCAAGAGTGGAGAGGGTGGAGCAGGGGCAGGGAGAGGCTGGGCCTGGGAAGGAAGGGGGGTTGTCCCAGCTCTTCCCCGGGTTGGGGGGGGGCATATGTCTGATAACCCCCCTTTTCCTGTCACCAGTCACCTCTGCCCCAACCTGGAGCCCCATTCCGACGCCCTAAACATCTCATCCCTGGCTCCACTCCAGAGACTTCACTCCCTCTTATACCCCAATTCCCTGCCTTAATGTGCAACCCTCTCCCACACTGTGAATCCCTTGGTCCCATGCACAGCCAGTCCAGAGCTCCCTCCCATACCTCAGAAATGCTTCCTTCCTGGGATTTGTGGTTTGGAAGCCATAAGTTCCCATACTTTTCTATTTGCTCGTCAGACTAAGTCTCCCATCATGCACCAGGGTCTCCCCTCAGAGAGGGGAAGCAGTGCATCCTGGGAGATATAACTGAGCCCCTAGAGGACAACAAGGACATTTAAGCAACTGAATTATATCTCCTATGAGGTATTGCAATAGAAATATTGCAGGATTTGGGCATTCAGTTTTTTAATGAAAAAGTATTTTTTCTGTCGAAAGTGGACATTTTAATGAAAAGTCCATTTTGTTGAAAACCCAATTTTTCCAACAGTTTTCACTGAAAATGTTCAACTTATTTCCATTTTACAGTTGGGATAACTAAGGTGCAGCAAAGGATAGTAGTTGCACATTGAGACAATGACATAACAAGTGGGGTTCCACAGGGGTCTATTTTGGGACCGGCTCTGTTCAATAGCTTCATCAATGATTTAGGATTGTTATAGAAAGTACGCTTATTAAGTCTGCAGATGATACCAAGCTGGGAGGGGTTGCGACTAATCTGGAGGATAGGATCATAATTCAAAATGACCTGGACAAATTGGAGAAATGGTCTGAGGTCAATAGGATGAAGTTTAATAAAGACAAATGCAAAGGGTTCCACTTAGGAAGGAACAATCAGTTCCGTACATACAGAATGGGAAGCGACTGTCTAGGAATGAGTACGGCAGAAAGGGATCTAGGGGTTATAGTGGACCACAAGATGAATATGAGTCAACAGGGTGATGCCGTTGCAAAGAAAGCAAACATGATTCTGGGATGCATTAACAGGTGTGTTGTGAGCACGACACGAGAAGTCATTCTTCCGCTCTACTCTGTGCTGGTTAGGCCTCAATTGGAGTATTGTGTCCAGTTCTGGGCACTGCATTTCAAGAAAGATGTGGAGAAATTGGAGAGGGGCCAGAGAAGAGCAATGAGAATGATTAAAGGTCTAGAGAACATGACCTATGAGGGAAGGCTGAAGGAATTAGGTTTGTTTAGTTTAGAAAAGAGAAGACTGAGGGGGGACATGATAGCAGTTTTCAGATATCTAAAAGGGTGTCATAAGGAGGAGGGAGAATACTTGTTCATCTTGGCCTCTGGGGATAGAACAAGAAGCAATGGGTTTAAACTGCAGCAAGGGAGGTTTAGGTTGGACATTAGGAAAAAGTTTCTAACTGTCAGGGTAGTTAAACACTGGAATAAATTGCCCAGGGAGGTTGTGGAATCTCCAGCTGTGGAGATATTTAAGAGTAGTATTCTATGACAGAGGCTGGACCCACGACTCCTGCACTAGAAATCACTTGGAGCCTGAGAGTGAACTCATTGGTACCAGTTTAATGCTGAAGTAACTTTGCTGATTAGTGACATTATGCTTCTATCACCATGTCAGTTCAGAATTTGGCTTAAAAGCTGTACTTTTGAAGCTAGAAATAACAAAAACAAAAATGGTTGTGATTCTTTCTACTTAAACTGATATAAATCAGGAGTAATTTCATGGATAGCAAACTTAGTAGCTGGGTAAAATTGGTGTGCATGGGGGTCAGAATCAAACCCAAAAGATCCACCTTTAGAAAAACCACCAAAACAGTAAGAATAGTTATTTATTTATATTCCATTAGCACATAGAGGCTTTGTGTAAGATCAATGCTCTGTTGAGGCAGTTTCTTACTATATGTTTGTACAGTGGGGCCCACTTTTTGCTGAGGCCCCAAGTCATTAAAGCAATCTTAATCATAATACTAGTGTTAGGCATTATACATGTATATAGTAAAAGACAGTCCCTGTCCTAAAGAGCTTACAGTCTAAACCCACAAGGCAGACAAATGGTGTGAGAAAGGAAGCCTTATTATACCCATTCTAGAGATGGGGATCTGAAGCCCCAGAGATTAGAAAACTTGCTCAAGGTCACAGGGGGCATCTATGGCAGAGCTTGGAATTGACCCTAGAGCATCCAAGTCCAACTCCAGTTCTTTAAATATAGACCCTCCTTTTGCTCAAGGATAGGTTCATGTGGGTGGGTGGGTGGATAGATATAGCAGATGCCAATAAATCAGCTGATAGAGTCATCTTTAAAACTGAAAAGTCATCTTGATCATTTGAAAGAAATATGAAGACTGGAAAAAATACATTTGCTTTCCTGAACTAAGGCCATCCAAGAAGCATATTACATGTCTTCTGTGAGAAATGATATAGATTAGCCACAAGTTATCTGGCTTCAAGCAAGGATTACTGTGTGACATTGGCCTCTGTTATGCAGGAGGTTAGGTTAGATGGATCATCACAGTGATCCCTGCTAGCCTTAAAACATAGACAGTGCTCTACTACTTACCAACACATTGGTTGCTTTCATCCATTTGGTAGCCAAACCGACACATCAGAGGTCTCGTAGCAGTGGGGTAGTTGGAAGCTGGAGGTGGTGGATAAACATTTGAATAGGGGTTCAGATATGGTGATCGATAAACTGGATTTGTTCGGGGAATGCACAAATAGCCACCATTCTGGTTAACACACACCATATCTCCTCTGCAGGCTTCGGGAATAGTCCGACATTCATCAATATCTGGAAAAATGTAGTAACAGAATGGCAATTAGATCAGCAATTTCCACAATTGGTTCTTAATGTGACACATGCACAGAATAGCGCATATGAAAATACTTTAGATTTTGTTGAATTTGTGATACACAGCATGTGCTAGGAAAAGCTATGCCAATCCCTTCCTTTGTGGAGTCTCACTTTGAAGTCAGCTCACATCATAACAGGAAATAAGGCATATTTTCAACCTAGCATGTGTGCTACTTGTTCTACTTTACAATTGGGGGAAAAAACACTTTTCTATAGAAACTCAGTTTAAACACGGAGTGCACATGGCTAGAGCATCCTACAGCCTGTTTCTCTTAATGGATCTGTCCAAGCCACAACATTCAGATCCAGATTTCAAACACTGGTGGTTTGGTTTGCCCAGCTGTGAAACTTGGATCCTGATATAGGACGCTGCAGTGCCTCCCACACACAAAGGTTGAGATGCTCAAATATGGGGATTTGATTCGGGTCTCTTTTTTGTTCTAACTGGGATTTTTTGGATTGACCTTAGAAAGATGCAGAGAGAGCAGCAGGATCTGAGCATTTGCTTGTCGGGAGGGTGGAACTGCTAGATTACTCAGACAAGGCACCTCAGCTTTTAGGTTAGTGTTTTTATCTTACTGTCTCTTAGTGTAAGTGGAAAGTGCTGTATTGACAGCTCTGAAGACTGAAGTCTTCTGGTCATCCACAGAAAAGATGTTGCTTGGACAACAGTGTAGCAT